AAATTCATAATTGGACGACAAAAAAATTGTTCTGATCATCGTTATCGAAGTGAATAATCATTCGACTTTCCTGATCGGCAAAAAGTCATATTGAAAAGTGTCTAATGTCGGGGTCGCTCAAACGTCGGTCGCTCAAGTGTTGGTCGCTCAAATGTCGGGGGCGCTCAAATGTCGATCGCTCAAATGCCGGCGCTCAAATGTCGGTCGCTCAAACGTCGGTTGACGATCAAAAAGATATCAGCGTATGGTCAAAAATATGATTTTTCGCGGGGTTCATCCAGTGGTATTCCACCGTTGAATAATGAAATAAATGAATCGGTAGTAACAGCAACTGAAAAAGTTAACGTATTGAACCGCTATTTTCCTAACATTAGTACTATGCCACACGGAGATGTTAGAGCAATCCAAATATGTAATGTCATTGTTTCATGTATATGAGGCCGAAAGCTTTTGATTTAGGGTGAGTTAAAAATAGTTGAATGGTGCGTAAGTCTCTATTGCTTTTCGTACATGTATTAGTTTGTATGTGCGTGTTTTTCGATTTATTCAAGATAAGAACAATTAATCAGCTTTGACTCGTAGTTCAAATGGAAGAGACACGACCCTTACGATAAAAAAACCAGGATAAGTTTTATTATAGGATTTCGTTAGTGAACCAGCTTAGAGAAGATGAAGAGAATAAAGATGAATTTGTTCGATTAACAAAAAAATTATTTCTGGATTGATTTAATGATTTTATTGGAGTCTACAAATCCGTGACGTACCGCAAATTTTTCGAGTGTTTTTTTCAATGGGCTCTCTCTTTTAGTGTCTACACAAAAGAAGTGTGCATTCTAGAAACAAGTAGTGGACTAAATAAGAAATGATGGACATAACATTTTGTAGGTTTTTATCTATAAAACAAGACTACTTCCAGTTCTAGAGAATATTCCTATTAAAAGTTACGATTTCTTGTAAAAGTGCAGGTTTTTTGTCTCTTTTTTACTAATATATCGGTGCCTCCTCAGATATTTAGATTGGACAGTTAAGATTTGTAAATTTGTGATCAGGGCACAGCTCTGTCATAATAGATATATTTCATAAAAATCTGAAAGGTCTACTTGGGAATCTTCCCTCGTCAGTGTCTTTGCCGTGTGAAGAAACGACCATGTATTTATTTTGCTCGACAGTCATACCAACTTGAAACAAATTTGACAATAAAAAAAAATTCTGTTCAGAAAAAGACGGATACTTTTGAATGCGTTTCTTGCTGTGTATAATAGAAGGATTCATGCTGTTCCAATTAAGTTACGTTTCTAAATCGTTTTTGTAAATAGACATCTCAGTTTGAAAATGAGAAAATATATATAAAAGTGCATTGCTCCAACTGAAGTACAGATTCTTTAAGAGTTGTGATGGAATGAAAGAAACTCTTGGGAATCCTCTATTGATAGGCTTAATACCATTGAAAATGGATATGACAATCTAAAGATGTTTCCATGTTAGTACTACTTGTGAGCCAAAATATAATCTTTTACTTCGAGCTATGTGTCAGTTTTTTGAAGAAAGGTTCAATCTCTACATTTATCACTGTCACTTTTGCTTGAATGTAAATATAATATGTACTGTAATAACTGCGTATTTAACAAAATACATGAAAAAATGAAACAATGGGGATTGTTTTTCCATAGGAAAAAAACATTAAATATTTGGTAACGTAAAAATCATTCAAGAAAAACATACTTATAAACATCGACTGCATAGAGAAAATAAATAAAATAAAAATCACAGGAGGATTATTCTATAATTTTGTTTTTTTTTCTTTGAAACATGTGACAAACATTTTTAAATGAGATCTAACAGCAGTAACACGTTTTTCTAACAGTTCATTCATTTTGACGATGTTGTAAGCTTTGAAGTCGATTTGGCTGAGATTGCTGTTGTTTAACGTGCTCATGAGCCTATAAATATTATCAACACTATTATATTGTATAACAGCACACGACTTAGCTGTTTTATTCATGCATTTACCTTACTTATGCGGATTCCATTTGTGCTATTTAATCTTGGACTTCGTATTGGCAAATTCGTATTGTTTGAGCGTTTTTCATCTAATGTCAGATATATTTTTAGATGAAGAAGATTATAACAGTGAATAAAACATACCTGACTTTCTTGCTGATTTACTTCTCATTTTACACGAGGAATCTTCAGCTGAATCATTGTGTGACGAGCCAGAACCTGAATCTCTATTATTCATAGACTCATAACCACTTGAACTTGCTCGTCCACTCGACAACGTACTACTCAACGGTAAGATATTTTGTAAATCAAGTGTCAAACATGTATGAGTCAGTGGATGATGATTTAGTACATCCTCATTCATTGTCGTCGATCGTCGTGTAGAGTTGGGAGTTTTTGCTTTTGGTACTAATTTCGGTGATTGTGGTACATCTTTCATTGTATTTGTCGTCGCATCTTTCATTCCAAATAAACGTTGTAGAATAGTCAGTCGATTTGTCGTTGTTGAAGAATCAGATTTTTTGTTTAGTAATTTTTGAGGTGAAAGTGGCAAATCTGTTTGCTTGAAAACTGTATCTGTTGGCGAATGACGAAGTATCGATTGAGACGGAGTTAAACTTGTGGTGCGTGCCGGTGTTTTCGGTTTTTTAGAACGCTTTGATCGTTGCAGTTGATTATTTGATTGTTCAAAAGCAAGATGAAGAATTTGTGGTGTACCAGGCGTTGATGACATGGCATACTGTTTTGCTTTTGGGGCAGGAGAATTAGGCACTGAGCCCACCTGTGAACTGATATGATGATTCAGAAGAGATGCATGAGATGGGAGTCGATTGTGATAGCGGCTAGGTGGTGACACTGAGTTATGTGATCCATCGTTATTCCTAAAAACAACATGCTTGATTACTAGTCCTTTTGTAATGCAAATATCGCATTGATAAGAGGTGATGACTTCGTTCATTACGCAATGCAGTCTCTACTAGAGAAAATAACCAACTTCAACTATACCTCTGCTGGTATCATCTGTGAGTAATACTGCATAACTCCTCTCACTGTTCAGGGAGCTTCAAGCCGGCAAAATGTGACTGTTCCTGATGCGAAGCGTCAAAAGATACCCAAAAGTTTCATACCCTTGAAAAAATGTGTGTAACCTGATTTTCAAAGACCGAAATTAATAGTATTTAAGGGCAAACCTATTTTTGAATGAATATAATAATTGATACAGCTATGTCTAATTTCGTTGCTCTAGTTTTTGTTTGACAATGTTCGTATAAATAGAGCGAAATATCACAAAAAGAAATAAAGAAGTTGTTCATTGCTTATTTAAATAAATAATGAAATTAGACATAGCTGTATCAATTATTATATTGATTCAAAGACCGAAGGTTTTGAAAATCGTCTCAAGCTTATAATCAGTTAAATTAAAAATGAAATTTTAGTCTTCGTCAGATCAAAATGTAGTTGATAAGAAGTTTATTCGAATGGCACAAGAAACATTTTGCTAACTATCTTCATTTCTGAACAACGATCGATGTAATGGGACAAATCGAAAATTTTGGGTTCAACAGCACAAAAACAATGTCATTTTTTCTCTAGACATTTTCACTCTGGATGGTATTCGGCTAAGACTACAAAATTCACCAAGTCTCATCCGAGATCTTTTGCTTTTGCTTAGTCTAGTAAGATCCACTTAAAATCGAGCATTCTGATGCAAAATTTAAAAATAAACACTCGCAACTACGAATTTTTGTGGCAGCAAAAGTATTTCATAGGTCTTTAGACCTTCCCTCCACGTGCATTCACGGATTACGACTCAAATGGATCTATAGACAAGGAGACTAAGAAAAAGTGAAAGATTCCGGATGAGACTCGATGAATTTTGTAGTCTTAGTCGAACAGTATCCAGGGATATCTTGATGCTACTGAATCCGGTACACAATGAGTAAATGAATTTAAATATACTGTCATTCCTTGTTGTCCTAATAATGAAAAAATTAACAATTTCTACTCACATGGCTAATTGTAATCGTTCTAGTCGATTTGGTGATACAATTCTTGATAAGCGTTTCGTTTTTTCTTCTTTCGACATTATTTCTACCAGCTGTTTTGTCCTCATTCGACATGCAGAATCAATAGTGTCTACTGCTGGAGTTAATTCAACTGATTGTAACGATCTTGTCAATGATTGTTCATCATTTCGATCGACAATAAGTATTTCCAGTGTTTTTTGTAGTAGTTCCATGTCATCATCGATTGATTTAGTGCTAGTAGTCAAATGTCTACTAGGCAATGTTTGTGACGAATAGGGCATCAATAAACCTTGATAAGGTGTGGCTGATGGAGCATAAAATGAGCCCACTAAAGCTGATATCACAGGTGATGTACTTTCAACAGAGGTTGTAGGTATTGTTATTGCTGGAGTTAATAATTCTTGCCGTTGTGAGCGATAGCTAGACGGTAATGTATGACCACCAGATATAATTGCTCTTGTCGAAGCTGAATTATCTGAAGTTCCTTGCTTATCACCGGTATCTGTTTTTTGTATGCAAGGATCTTCTCGTTCTTTAACGGGACTTATCGAGCATGTCATTGATGATGAAAGTTTTGTCGAACAGCGAAATGGTAACAGTGGATCTTTTTCTAACGGTACTAATTGTGGTACATGACATCGAGAACTAATTACACTTTCGCTACATGTACTACAACCATCGTCAGTTATATCGTCTACAGTTTGTTTTTGATGAAACATTGGTGATCCACAATAGGGAAACGATGTCATTTGTTCATGAGATTTTAAACAGCCAAGTTGTAAATGAGTTGATGGAATTTTGTAGTTCGAATTAGACGTTAATTTTGCGAATGGTGATATACCACGTTTGGGCGACAGAAGAATAGGAGATGCAGGCGTCGAAGAGAACGATAGTTGGTCATTTAATAAACGCTGTCTTAAGAAAGTACCATTCGATACAATATGTCCATTAGAAGGAGAAGATCGTGTTACATCACCGGTATTACACATCCTAAAATAAAGAAGACTACGAGTATTGAATGACACTTGTTTGAATCAGCTATGAGTAATTTAATCGTACTTTTCATTGTCAATAGATGCAGAATCAATAACTTTTGCTTTTGTATGCATTGGTTTCCAATTGGCTGTATCGTTCTGTTCCGTTCTTATCGAGGCTGATCGAAATTCGTATGGTCCATCAATCCATATTTCATTTTGTGTGGATCGTTTCTTTGCTGAAAGTGGACCATCGACCCAAACTTCACCTGGTGGTTTTGAACTTAAGGTTTCCATGTATTTTGTTAAATGTTCTAATGGAGCAGATGAATAAGCACCATTAGATGGCTGTCCACAATAGACAACAGTTTCAGTAGATCCTGAATTTGATGAACAATCAGGATCTGAATTTCGTCGGAGCAACGGTTTCGATGGTATATAATCATTATGAATCTAAACCGCGTATCTGAATGTGATTATATGTAAGAGACAAATCATAATCAGTTTACCTTTGTTTTGTGTTTCATCGTTCTTTTAAATGTTCGATGTAATTTGGACATAATTTGTAATGTATGTAAAATATCTGTTTTTTGACATGTTGTTACATTTATATTAGCTAATAACCATAGACGATGACAATCACTAATATAATCTGTTAAAAAGTGTGTACTGTAGTGGTGATCTCTACTAAAACGCAAATATAAGACACGTAATAATACTTCGATAATTGCTTACGTCCCTCTCTCCATATTTACTTGTTGAAGAGTGACATATGTTTTTGTCTATTAGCTGTAGCCATTACAGTATTTCCAAAATGTGTTGTTATTTCACTAATATGACCAAGACATATAAAATGTAGACAACTGTGGTTATTGTCATGATCATCATTATGTTTGTAGAGATGGATGGTTATTATAAGAGTATTGCTGAAATCATCATTATGACTCAAATTTTCAAATGCTCGATTAATTAATTTGGCAGCATTGACGTAATTGGTTATTACATGTTCACTTGGAACTTGTTGATGATGAATATTCGGAGCTAAAACAAGATAAAATCAATTTTCTAATGCACCGTTGCATTTTCGATCAAGAATTGTATTAGAATTAAGTTAAGTTAAATTGCCATTTGTTTTACACACGCGCTTCTAGTAACACAAAAGCCTCAAGGCATACTTTGGCTTTTACTAATAAAAGAACCTTCTCAGGTTTCAAGCCACTTTTTTCCTCGAAATATTCTTGATTATAGGCACTTTTTGATGTTAATCATGCATCTGATATTCGTTCATCACCTTAAAACTTTTCAGAGTCTCTCTCTAACTTCTAAAGTCTCTAGAAACCCATGTACTTTCATCTGGACAAATTCTGATAGTGCTCATTTTATAGATTAGATCAACTGGCCTATGTTGAAAAGTTTTGAAAACTAATAAGAATTTTTCGATAAGTTATAACAAATTTTAGTCTTTCATCCATTCGAAATAAAGATGATTGAGGTTTCTTTCTCGATAAAAAATTATAACCATTTAAGTTAAATAGTTAAATCAAAATTTTCTACATTTTGTCTAGGTTTCTGATAAATAGAATGTAGAATAGCCAAAATAGTCTGCACTTTAAAATTCGAAAGTTGATGTTTTTTAAGTGAATTATAAATTTTTGAATATTAGGTGAAAACAATCTGCAAACCTCAGTTTTTGCAAAACTCAGTTTTCACTAAGTTTCAGAGTTCTTTTCCAAAAATAAACATTGCTACTAGATTCAACGTGGTCGATCACGTATGTTTCATGCAATTTGAAGGCTACGCTAAGATCCTCTGAAAAGCCTACTTTGAAAACAGATTCTCTAACACTTTCTGATCAGACGTTAAAAAGGTGTGTATTTTTGATATCGATATTTCAGTATGGATACCGATACCGGTGTATACCTACATCTGACGACACAAAAAAAATTACGCATAGAATGAACACAATGTTGTCCGATGAAAAAAGTGTTCAGGTGTCGTCATTCACGTATTTAGGATACAAAATGCATAGACAATGATACTTGGACACCTTTCTCATCGAACAAAACGTGCCCATTTCATTATTCAATCTTTAGAAGTAATCATCCCTCCTCTTACTAATCGTTGTTCTCACATATCTAGTAAAAAGACACATTTATCACACAGTTGAAACCGAGCCGGCAGACCCGGTCTAGTACAAAAATTCAGACTGACCAGTCTCGGCCGGTCCGGTGCCAGCCTAGAAAAATTTTCAATAGTTAGTTTTAGATCGATTGCAATTCTGATTTATCATCAAAGAATTGTAGATGAGTCATGTGCGTGATTGCAGTTAAAGAAATGACATATAATTTTGATTTTTAAACTCAATCTTTGTTTGTTTTTAACAAAGTTAGATTAGATGTTTTAGAGTTTAGACAAAATATTTAATGATACATACTTGTTTTATTATTCTGATCTTCATTCTTCAATAAATCTCTTACATTTGTTGTTTTTTTATCTCTAAATTCTTGTGCACTTAATCGTAGAACTATTTTTGTATGACGTTGATCTTTAATTAAATGGAATAACCATGTAATAGCACACAATAATAAACCGGTTTGTTCTACACTAATAGAAGAGGAAAATTTTTTAAACAAATTTCCAAATAGACAATGATAGTTTGCTAGAAAAAGAAAAAAGAAGATAAAAATAATAAATCTCTACTCTATTATAATATTATATTTAAAATACCTTCTATACATGGTCCAACACAAATAAATGTAGAATTTTTACCATTAATAAGTGTAGAAATGAGTTCAATTAATATTTTTCCACTAATATCTAAATTTGATTCTTCCGGTGTAAATATTTGATCAAATGTAAATGTTTTTGAGGAATTAGATGAATTATTTGAGTTTGAATTTAATTTATTATTTTTTGGATCTGATAGTGTTATTTGTCGTTGTAGTTTATCAACTTTAATGAATGATGTTGAAGAAAAGTGAATCGAATCATGAATTAATGGTGTCCATAAACGAATACCAATTTTTATCTAAAAAAACAAAAAAAGACAAAAACTTGAAGAATTTATAATTATTTAGTTCGAACGTGTCATGTATGCAAATGATTAGAATAAAAAATGTTGCGTGTCGTTGCCTTCACAATAGCATATAGCGTGAAATTATATAAACAGCTGTGTCACACTATTTGTAGCCGAATGCATCTTAAAATCTACTTAATTGTGTTTTGAGTTTTGTACTAGAAAATCTCTAATATCATACAATCAGAGAGAGAGAGAGAGATGAGATCCTCAAAAGTTAAAAAAGATCTAGAAAATAAACTAGAAAAAACAACCTAATAATTGATTTATAATATATGTATATTTAAATTATAGTTAGGTTAAGATGTCATTGCCTTTTCGTGTATGAGAAATAATGCAACCTTGAATGATATCAAAGTATCATCTAATTATTGATATCTATATGCGTCCTTTTCATCAGGGTCAAAATATTCTACTTTTTCTTTTCTCAATTTTTATTTAAAAAGAAATAAAAGAAGTTGAAGATGAAGAAGAACATAATTTTATCAATATTGATTAGATGTAAAATATCATTAATGACGTTCAATAGAACACCATCATAACCATGTTACTAGTATAAATTTAGGATTAATAATCATGGTTACTTCAAGAAATCATTCTGCTCGAGTGTTTATTCAATCATTTATTTACACTGAGGTAGATTATCATTATTCTGTTATATTTGATAATGTTTTTATCATCAAAAAAATAATTTATCTGTCTCTTCTTTTCTCTATTCAAACTGTTTAGCTTAATTAGTGCCACTAGACTTATTCTACATATTATCAAAAAAAAATTTCGATCAGTGTTTAATGTACATCTAAAGTCGTTAGTGTCCATTCACCATTATTATTGAAATGATGATTTTGAGATGTTATTTATTTATGATTATAAACACCCATGGGAATGTTGAATGTATGTCGTTTGAAAAATATTTTTCTTCTTTAAAAGTCATTGTCAATTAGATCTAAACACTCGAGACCATCTCCATTCTCAAAAAAGAAGAAAAAAAAAAACAACAACAGAAAAAGATTAAATTCAATAGAAATTGACCAGTTATGAGTATCCGGTCCGGTTTATATATATATATATATTTTTGTCTTTTTGGATCTTTTTCTCTCTCTGTTGTCGGTCAAATAATCTATTACTATAGACATTTAATAGACAAGACAAGAAAATTTAGATGTGTAGATCTACAATGCAAATGACAAGCATTTTATTGTGTGTCTCTCTCATTCAAATAAAGAAGAAAAAAAATTATCATAAAATTATTAGAGTATGATCATGATCATTAGTCCAAAACGATTCTATTAAAATACAATTTTATCACTATAAAATTTTGCTCTTATTAAATTGAATAGAATATAGATGAGAGTTCAACTAAAGATTTGATTTCTAATGCTCCTTGTATGTAACTTACCCAACTTGTATTTGTCGTATTTATTTTTATCATTCTTTTCGATAATGTTGATGGTATTGGTAGTAACTGTAATTGTGATAAAGATTCCTTATTATTATTATCATAAATTCTTGTGTCAGTATTGTTGAAAACATCTGTTTTTGTTATTGTTGTGGATGATAATGACGATAAATTGACATCATTATTTATCACCAATAATGGTGATTGCATAAGAGAAGAAGACAACTGTTGCTGATTTAATTGTTCAATCATTATTTTGTTGTTCAATATTCTAAAATACAAAAAAAACGAAAACTATAGAGAGAGAGACAGACAATCTTTTTTTCACTTAATTAAACATATTATAGTCAAGATATAAAATTTAGTTCGGTTTTTCTTCTTTCTTTTAAAAAAAAAAGAAGAAAATCACAATAATGATGACGTAATACTAAATGATATGGATCTTTGTATGCCTAAATCTGAATATATGTACAAGATAAAAATATGTGTTTGCTCTTCTCTTATGTGTTTAGATAGTTAAACACATTATGATTTACAAGGTCACACATACGTAGGGATTTACAATTGATTTTCTTCTTTCTTCTGGACACACAGATATACAATGTAAAAAATAAAGAAAAAAAGTCAATGTATTCTATAATACATTGTTCTCAATTTAATAACTTAAGCTCGTTAGGATTAATATACCTCTGTTCTCGTGAATGTTTACATCATACACACTATACAATGTCTTAAATTTCACAAAGACATTATTGATTATATAAGGGCACAGTCTATATCCTATTACATTTGACAAAAATGTCAAATAATATTGACCCTGACCAATGCTCTTTTATTTTAATTTGCATAATATCGTCATGGTATGATGATGATGATGATGATGATGAAAAAAAAGATGAATTATGAAATGGCATTAGGAAGATAATTTAGAGCAGTTAGAGTCATCGAATCGATTTTCGTTTCCTCTTTGAAGGTCATAATAAATCACCATCAAGAGGCTATAAAAATTGTGAATATCTACAAAATCAAAACGATATCTCATGTAGAAGATGTTAACTATTGAACGATGATAAATAATAAACTTACCTCGAAATTCTGAAAAATGAACTTCGATTTAAAGCGATTAATTTTTTATTTTTTTTCTTCTATTAACACGAAATTCTACAGATAAATATCTTTTTTTTCTCTTCCTTTTCTTCCTTGATTGGGACACACGATAGTCCACAGTCTTTTTTTCTTTGCCTTTTATTCTTCTGATATATATATATATTTTTTTTTTTTTGTTTCGTTTTTGTCGTATATGAATGTTCTTTTCTTCTTTTTTTTTTCTTTTATTGTCCAGCGATTGATTTATTCAAATTATTCACGGCACTTGTCCAAACAAGAGAAGTACGTTTCCGGTCTTCTGTTTTGTTGATTACCAGTGCGGTGATAATCAAATAGCTAATTAATTCTTATACTCAAAAGAAAATGTTTCCGTTATTGTAAATAAGACACACCTTTCTAGTGAACATACGTACATTAAAAAAAGAAATAGTTTTCAATATTTTTTGAACTTGAAACAGTTAATAAAGTAAATTCTTCTCTTATAGCGATTGATTATTGGAAGAATGAATGGATCTTAGTTTACTCACTTTTCTCTAGAAAAACTAGAGTGTGATTTCATAGAGTTTTTGATTATCTGTACACTGACCTTTGTTACAGAGATGTAGAGACAAGTTAAAAAATAAATTTTAAATGCACTTTTGATCAAGAAATTTTAAAAGGACTGTTAAACTTTGTGTTTAAAACGTTTTGAGATATGGAATTCATCGAATGCATTTTTCAAAAACATAAATAAATTCTAGAAAAGTTTATTTTACGCATATTAAAGTCCAGTGACACTAAAAAACTGTATCATATTGATTTAAAACGTTTTCAGATCAACCACATTCTACATTAATGAGAAGTATGAAAAAGTGAGAAGATTTCTTGTTACTGATAAATCTTTAAAGTTGTCAAAAAACAATATGTTTCCAAAAATATAGTCCTGATTCATTATGTTCGATTGAATAAGCAAAAACAAAACAAAAATCGATAATTTGATACAACTTGAAAAGTTAATTCTAATCAACTAGTTGCTATTCAGTTTTATTTATGTTCTAATAACACAAAGTATTGTCTACTTTAGCCTCGTTTCGTCGAATTTTAGGATATGTACTCTCGTTCCACTTCCTATTTATATTCTCTGAATTATTCTTATACACGCCACGTTGATAGATCTACTTAGTAGAACATTTGTTATTATTGAAAATGAACGTTTAATGATGGGCAGCATTTGCAATCAAACTTAATTTTGTGAATCTTGCCTTCCAACAACAAGACGATATTTTAAAAAAATTTTTTACAGACATTTTTCTTAATCAAAACTTCATTGTCTTTCTTTTGAGATAGGTCTCCGAATCTAGAGAAAAGATTGTGTATAAAGTGATCAATAACTCTCATGAAATGATTTTGTGATCAAATCTTGTCTTTTCTCATATAGATGTTGGGACATCTAATGATAGTACAAGAATTAGCATTTGTCTTTCTCTCTCTCTCTATTATCAAATTAGTCTGGTCAGATGACCAGTATGTCTATTTCAGATTAAAATAAAATAATTTTAAAGCTACTCCCATAAGAATAGTTGATGTGTGTTTTTCTTAATTGTAGAACGTGGATAGTCCTATACGCAAAAAAAATTTTCTTTTTTTCTATAGTATTCAAATCATGTAACAACAACTTCTTCTTTAATCTAGATGTGTATTCCGATCATAGTCAATCGTGTTCTATTACACATTACATATTCAATATGTGTGATAATTATATTATTGAATCAAGTATTGCTTGAGAAGAATATATTTTACTATTTAGTGTAGATGGTCTAGCGATGATCTAGCAAATAGACAAGAAAGGAAAAAAAATATTCAATATTAGGTGTTATTAAGATAAAGTTAAAAACTACAAATGGATGGCCAAAAGCAGTTTTTACACTTAAAAAATGAAAGGCGAAAAAAATTTCAAATAGAAAAATAGTTTATAAGAGTTGTGACAGTCAACAATAGTATTGATGTTGTTATTATTTTTACATTTAATAGTTAATCTGTCATTTAGAGAAAATGACACAATAAGAATTTGTCAGCATACATATACATACACACAAATAAAAAAAAAAAAATCGCCAGACATGAATAGCAAGTGATGAGTACTTTAGTTTTCTCTCTTAGTGATGATTGATGAAGTCCGAAATGTCAAAATACAAGGTTACGTTGTTAGTGTGTTTTTCTTTTCGTTGAGATATTTTTTATACAATGTTGACAAATATTTTTTCTTTTTGATAAGACATAAGTACGAAGTGTCTTGATTACACGGATTATGAATTATATATGCTAATGATTATTGCTTTAATTGAAAAGAGAGTGAATGTTATATACTGAAAAACACCAGAGTAATGATTATTTTCAGGACCTGTTTTAACAGTAAATCATTTATTCAAATATATGTACGCTTGATAAACAAAAACTTTTTCTCCGCGAACAGTATTGTTTTTTCTTCATTGATTATTAAAATCACGGTGTTATCTTGAATTTGTGGCAACTACTTAAGGGGTGGACACATTACAAGACCTCCCCACAATAAAAGACCCCACTAAATAGAAGACTCCTGCTGAACTCATCTTGTAAAAGTTGAAATAAACTACCCCTCGATTTTTCCGCTTTTTACTTGTAAATCTTGCAAAATTCATAATAAATGTTTTCCAGCTTGCTTTTTTGGATACAAAAGAAGACACCCCCTCCCCCTAAAATCTTTATTCTTAAGGGCAGGCTAGAAGACCCCAGTCTTTTATTGTGTCATCCCCTTTATATGATTTGTCTGTAGCGTTTTGTGAAATTCATAGCTCTTCAGACGATCAACGCACAGTGTTAAGGAACACCTTATTTTGTAGCTTAAAGGTTTTTCTTTCAAATGGTAATTAAGCAATATCTAGCAGCTGACTAGTTTAAGTGACATAATGTTTTAGATATACCGTACTTTCGTACAAAAGGACCTCATTGGCGCGAATTATAGTCAGGTGGTTAGGTTAGGGCTAGACTTTGCTTAATGACTCTTTGAAAGAAAAATCGTGAAGCTACAAAAGAAGATGTTCATCAACTCTGTACGTTGCTCGTCTAAAGAGCTATGAATTTCACAAAATGTTACGGATTAAGGTTTTTTAGCTACTACGCTAGGACAGGCCGTATACTTATTGAAATAGATTCTAATTATTTTACATACGATTTTCTCCCGCTAAAATAGTTTTAAATTTTTTTCCATGAGTGAGTTAGAATCATGAGACTATCCTTTACAAGGCAACGTAAATCATGATCGCTCTCAGGTAGCAGCATTTTTCTAGAGGCATCACTTTTTTCCGGAAAGAGGATTTGGAAATCTTAAAAATAGTAGAAAATATTAGTTATAATAACTAATTCAAAACGTATCAAAAATTGTTTAATATATTTTCAACGCATGATGAACTCAGACTTAGCTACTCTCTTGTAGTAATCAGGAAAACTTTGAAAAAAATACGCTGATTTCTCATAATAGTTTTATAAAATCTTGAAAACAAGAAGAAAGGCAATTTTGCATTTTCTGTTCTATAATTATTATATTTAGCAGTCTGCAGTCTATATCTGAAATGTATGAAGCAGTCTGAATGAGTTTCAAATTGACTCGTCAACGTATCATTTCTCAATTCATCCATCGAAAAGTCTAGCTAGGATAAGAACTATTTTAGAAAAAGCTCATTTTCACATTACAATTGTTCAGTTTAGAATAGAAGTATGCATTGAAAAACACTCAAAAGAGAAATGATATAAGAAAGCATTCTATTAGTAATTTTTAAAACAAAAACATATATATTATAAATATTAAAAAATAATTCTTGTCTCATTAAAATTATGTGAGTGCGTGAGTATGCGTATATCCGGCCCGATTAATTTTAATCAAGGTATATCTTGTATAGAGATTGTATGCTTATTAAGATATTTTTCTTTTTTCTATTGTAGTAGTAGGTTAGAAATTGGTGTTGTTGTTTTTTTTTTCTATTGAATTAATATCTACGTATATCTATTAAAAAAATGTACATCAATATGATCACGCACATAATCTCCACCTCGAGTCAAAAACTTTTGTCTTTAATTAAAATTATAACTGCGAGTGTCATAAACAAATCTATATTGTATTTTATACAGTT